AGCATAAGTAATTATCCTCATTCTTAAAATAAGTTAAACACATAGACGAATTTATTTTTTTCGTCTCTTTCTACACATTTCAAATAATAATATCTATCTCTGCAATTTAGCTTGTCAAATTTCACAGCATAATAAAAGATTCATATCTTCGATTTGTGTATATAAAAATCAATTGTTGTTCGTTGGTAACGGAATCAGTTGAGAACGGGTGCACCGATTTGAATAATTTTTGTACAAACATTCGTCATACCCCGAGTTAGGTTTTTAAAGAAAAAAATATTGACCACGCCTACTTTTACGCCCATTGTTTCGATTTATCTAAAATCCTTATATTTGCCAAATTAATGAAGATATCGGTTTGAGAATTATTACACCAGATACTGTTGGCTTTCCATCCAACCGTAAGTATTTATTTAGGGGCTGAGGAACGCGCCTACTTTTCAATCTGTCTCTCTATATGTAAAAGAAAGTTATGTTAGTTATTACGCTTATAACATAAAGACCGCCGGTCTGATTTTAACGATACAGACAGATTCGGAATTGCCTCTTGGCAGAAAAGCATAAAATCCAAAAAAATCGCGTAAAAATGTGAAATTTTGAACATTTTCATTTTGACTTTTAAAATGTACAATAGTAATGTTTTATTTTGCATAATTTTTTTTTTCCATTTTGTTTTTATTTATTTTTTTTTTTTTGGAATTCTAATATGATGTGTAGTTTTTTGGGTAGTATAAAGCGACAATGGATAAAACTGTTATTTATAGATTTTATGTATTTATTGGGTAATACGAATAATATCATTTCAGAAGAGAATAAGATATGAAAATTCTAAGATCGGGAAAAATCGAAAATTTTTCAATGAAATCGAATTTCAAAATAATAGTACATTCTACAGACCATGGTACAATGAAGAGAAGGTAGGCCAACTTTGAAAAAAATGCAAGTATAGAGGTCTACCTGTTTGGCTTGTAATGTCAGAATTAGTATCAAAACAATAAAAAAAAACAACTTGTTGCATTTATTTTGAATAAATAATTGAAAACCGCGAAAACCGAATGAAAGGTCAACACTTCTTTTCAAAACCAGGTTCTATATATCTCTAAAGGATTATTTTGCTACAAAAACTCTAGATTTTGTCGATGCATGCGATGAAATAAACATTTTGAAAACATCCGAATTTGAATGTTTTCTGAACAATTGTTTTGTTATTGAAAAGAAAACACATACATAAACAAATAAAGATGACATATTAAGCCAAGAAAATAAAAAAATTGAAATCATATGGTATCATAGCCCTACTTTGATATCATTGTACCAAGCTACAGACAAACTTCTTAAGGACCTTTAAAAATTTGCCGTAAAAAAAAATCAGCGAACCAGTTGAAGATTATTTGTCTTTTTTCAATCCTTTCTTTTTTTTATATTGAAGTGTACATTTATTATTGTTTTCAATTCTGAATGATTATTATTAAAAATGAAATGAGTGTGTAATTCTTCAACTCCAGGAGCTTCAGCTGGAAGATGCTAACACATTTATACAAACAAAAATGACCGAAAAAGCATTATGGGGTTCACTTCAAAAAGTGGACCTGTTTCTTTCATATGAAAATAATTCGTCCAATGAGAACTCAAATTTTCCCCAAACATTCAATACCTTTAATCGCTTTGGCAGGTCATGATATGGGTCATAACCCCCGATAACGGAACAACCCGATTTCAAGTATATTCTACATTTTAATCATATTTTTCGTACTAATTTTACCTTATGTTAATAATTTAAAAAAAACCATCCTTGCAAGAAATGATCACGTTTTAGTATCACCATCATATCCATCATATGATTTAAGGTATTTTCGGGGTCTTGGTCACTTTTTCCATTTTTTTGGCCCTTATTTGACATTTTTGTTTCTAAGGGGGAAGAAAACCTCTTCTCATAATTTATTTATTTTTTTATTTACTTTTCAGAAAAGGGCCCATCTTAGTCTTGAGGCTACATTGGGTAAAAACCCCTGAGGTCGAAAACCATCTTACAGATAATTATCCACATATGCATTTATTTAAGTATAGTCCCCATATTAGTATACCCCCAAGTCCACTTTCCCAACCAATGTGTGGTCACAAAAGAAAATTTGGTATTGTATTTAATTTGTAACCCCCAAGAGAATATTGGTTGGGAACATGAAATAAACTCCGAAATGTCAATCTGGCACTTATTCAGTCGGAAATTGTGGCAGAAACATGAAAAAATAAGAAATTAGAAAGTAACACGAGACCGAACATTTCTTTAGTCGTCATTGAATTACACTACGATGAAAAATGTGGACTTTATTGGTGAACAAAACTTAATACCAAGCAGTACGGGATTTTAAACGTTGGAAATACAAATTCGAAATTATAGATCATTTGAATGAAAATTTTAAGCTTTTTACAACAATAAAAATTGAGCTGAATTTTCACATTGGGATATTATATATGTTCTTTATCATAAAGGTATTTAACACAAAAATTAATTTCTATTTAGTCATGGAGTCATTACTTATAATGAAAATTGTGCCGCTTATATAAGTCAGATCTGTGATTTATTATGCTTTAAAAAATACGCATTAAAGACTAAAAGTACGGCCGGCAACGCGGACCGGGCCAGCTAGTTGTATTTATAAATTTGAAAAAATTGTTAACATGTGATAGCATGACTTTACCTTTTTTCTGTTTTTTTTTTTTTTTAACATTGAATACAAATTCAAAATTGGCAGAAGTCTGGCACACTCGGAAAAAAACATGTCCAACTTTATTGCACGAACAACAACGGGAGCACCAGGTAACGTGCCACTGAAATGGGGCCACATGTCCAGCCCCTGGACCATGGTAGAAGAATATTGGTAGACGCATCGACGCAGCTGCTGGGACAATGAATTGTCAAACCAATTTTGGAATTGAAAATGTTGAATGAAAAATTATTTAAATTTGTTAAAAATGTTTGAAAACACGAATTATAATAACCTCCGATTGACGTCGTATAAGAAAACGGCTTAACTCTAGTTTAGTAAAAACTCTTCAATTTTTTCGAAATTTTTTTCAGTGGTAGGTATTCGAGACCCCGACTAGACCCGGATCCACCACCCGATATAGGTATTTTCATAAGCTTTCAATCGATACCCATATTGTCTATATCGGGTAAGTGGATCCGGGTCCAGGCGGGGTCTTGATCCCGGACTTTTGGGTCAAAAATATGGGGTCCCGGGTCCGTCCCCCAAGAAAAAAATAGTTTCCCGGGATCAGGGTAAAATACCTACCTCTGGAAAAAATTTCGAAAAAATCTAAGAGTTTTTACTAAACAAGAGTTGTTCCAAGAAAACATATAAAAATCTACTTATTTGATAAAACATTTAATTTTTTTTTTTTTTTTTTGACATATCAATGCTCCCAAGCCTTGTTGCATCTACCTGTATTCTTCTGCCATGCCCTGGACACAATAGTTGAACAGGAATTTGAAATCGACTATGAATAGTCGAGTACTCGGTTTCCACCCAAGTCCATAGTCGAGTTCGGCAAACGATAGTAGCAGCTAGTTCCGCGCTCTTTAGTGAAGATGTTCAATTTTCTCATGTCTCATTCGTAAACAACAGAGTACCCGGGCGTTATGCATTACACTCATTCGTAAACAACAGAGTACCCCGAGTCTTTGCTTTCTGTTTATTTTTTATCAGGTATTCCTTTGTGGCCTTCATATTCGTTTCGTTTCAACGAACAACCAACCACGCTTGACACGCTTGAAGCAGAGACAATCGACTCCTGAACAACTTGGTTGGAATTGGAGGAATTGGATTTCCATTTGTTGGACAGGTAGCGTGTTTGTAAATAAATATTGAAAATATGTTTTATTAATTACGATTTTCTTTAGTTCATGCTGGTTTGATACATCTAGCATACAATGGAGGAACCACAGGACTCACACGCACAAGATGTCACAAAAACGGCAGGCGAAGAGAATTGCACAGATGCAAAGCAAGAATTTTATATTAAAGCACAAAAATACTGGTCAGAGGTTCCTCCAACTGTAAATGGAATGCTTGGTGGATTGGGATATATCAATGCTGTCGACATACAGGCGTCGACCAGCTTTTTACGTGAATTAAAAATCAAAGATATGCACAAAAAGTATGCCTTGGACTGTGGAGCAGGCATTGGTCGAGTTACAAAGAACTTACTTATGCCTCTCTTTGAAAAGGTGGATCTTGTTGAACAGGACCCTGCCTTTGCAGAAAAGGCACGAGATTATTGTGTAACAGATATGGGTTCAACGCTTGGTTATCCCAAACGATTGGGAGAAATTTATAATGTGGGACTGCAAGAGTTTATTCCAACTCCACAGAAATACGATGTAGTGTGGTCGCAATGGGTTCTGGGTCACTTGACGGATGAAGATTTGCTAAAATTTTTCAAACGAGTAAAAGTTGGTTTAGCTGATGGTGGTCTTTTTGTTATGAAGGAGAATGTAAGTTCATCGAATAGTACAGTTTTAGATGAAACCGATTCTTCGGTGACGAGGCCGTTGACCGAATATGAGAAATTCCTTGGAGAAGCTGGCTATCGCATAATAAAAATTACAAAACAAAAGAACTTTCCCAAGGGATTGTTTCCAGTTTGTATGATTGCATGTCGACCAATGGCTCCAAAAATCAATCAAGGCTGAGGACCAATTTGTGTTTCGTAGAAGAAGTCTAAAAAATTGAACGCTTCTTAGTCACACTCTTTAGATTTACTTAAGCTATTATTTTAAATGCTGACCCAGTTTTTTCGTTTTCCTTTTATAAAGCTAGTCTTTGATCGCTCGCACAAAAAGGTTATACCAATTACCTACTTAGTATGTATAAATAATTAGTCTTTATTTTTTGTAATATGTTACAAAATAAAATTTTACAAAAACCTATTCTAACTACTCGATTAACTCAATATTAATATATGTCATTAGACTGATCAATATAATAGACATGATGCGTAGATTGTATTGCAATTTTCGTTTTTCATCACAGCATTTTCTGTTATTACAAATTTTTCCTCTTATTACCTTTCTCTCCCACAAACCGGGAATTGCGGCAAGTAGACTTGCTTAATGAAAACTCTGTCTTATGAAAATGAGGTCTGATTGGATAATCAATAATTTTTAACCTCAGATCTGTGCTATGACCCAATAATTTGTTATAATTTATGCAAATTATTACAGAATTATTATTGGCTAAACATTAGTAATTATATAGTAATTAATAATATGTGAATACAACTTAGGTATTGAATTATTGTGTTTCTAGTCCAAGTAACTGGCAATTTAATATTCTTTAGTTCAATATCAACTCCATATCCGAGGAGATCAGCGTTTAGTGCAGAAAAAAGTTAAAATAAAAATTATATTGTATTAAGTTTGTTTTTAATTCCACCTAAGTCATTCTTAATCGCGCCGTTGTTTTATAAGTACGATGTTAAGTGTATTAAAGAGGAATATATTAATACTTAAAAATTATCATCGTATATCGTTATCCGGTCACATACAACTTACACAACTGAACACTACAAAACGAAGTACACATTCTTTTCAATGGTTGGAACCCTTGCATGGAAATTGTAAATGGAATCAAACTATAAAAGAAGCAAAACAAGCCGTGGGCTATTCAACCACAAACTTAAGTTTACGATGGATTCTGAACGATGACTTGTCAATACTTAAGAATAAAATTGATAAAAGCCAGCATCCATTATTAAAAAATATAAAGTGAGTAAATATGTGTTCTTGTTGTATCTCCAGCTTTATGATTATGAATCACTTCGTATGGAGTTAGTATTTCGTACTTTCATATACGAATATATGTCAAAATCAAATCAAATGTGACATCCGTATGAAAACTAGGTCAAAATTTTAGGTGATCTTGAATCTCTTATAAGATGGTAAAATTTTATACATAATGTTAGTGTCCAAACTTGTGACCGATTAACATATAGGTACACTACATATACCTCTTTTTAAAGCTTTTACCCTACCACTATGTAGGTATTTGTGTCAGTCCAGCTTTTGTCATACAGTTCGTCCGTCTATCATTCGAGAGGTACTCTGTGTCGAATTATCCTAATATGCCCATAGTTATACTGTCAATATCAGACTAAATCAGAGCATTCTTCTTGAATTACCATAGCAAATTAGAGTTCTAAAATACGATGATAGACTAAGAGTATACATCCGACTAATACGTTTTAATTTAATAAAAAATAACGCAGAAAAGAAATTTTCTGTTTTTAACGAATGACGCCGAAATTGTATGTTTATGACGGGGAATTTATATAGGAATATAAGAAAATTACATTTCCGCGGGCTCTTCTTACATTTTTCAATTTTGATGATTTTTTGAGCTTACTGCAACCAACGCAACATATGATCTAAGTGCTGATTTATACTAGCCGAGTTTACTAGCGGCAATTTTTATCATTCTCTTTCGAACTTTGCTCTGGCACATCCAAGGCAATTATTTTTCATTATTGCCTTTTCTGTATAAGAACTGAGGAATTGCCAGTACGAGCAGTTTTTCTTTTCCACTCCCCCAGATAACTCGCCGAATATAAATTTGGACTAACATACAGGGTGAGATGAAAAAACTGCAACCAACTTCAGACTGCTGTCATTTCTAAGCCACTCGTCCGACAGCTGTTAAAATTATTCCAGTGACCGCTCATTATATTGCTTACAAGCGTACAAAAGCATTTTGGTGAGAATTTTCGAGAAAAAAAAAGTTATTCGTGATGGAATTCAAGCGTGGTAGTGCGTTTCTTTATATTTGGCTGGAAAACCACAAGTGGCTATCGTTAGAGCTCTCCAGTATTTAAATGGGAATAAATCTTTTGTGTCGCGTACCATCGCTCGTTACCGTGATACTGGTAGCGTAGTCCGACGTCAAGGAAGTGGACGGAAGAAAACAGCAACATCAGCAGAAATGGTTTGAAAAGTAAAGAAGCAGCTTGATCGAAACCCGCGTCGCAGTGGTCAAAAAATGTCTCGTGAGCTGAACATATCACAATATTTGATTGGGCAAATATTGAAAAATGAGGTCGGGGTAAAGCCATTGAAATTCCAATAAGTGCAAGAACTTATACCGCAACAGAAAGAAAATAGACCCAAAAGATCTAAAGAGTTGCTTCGCTTGGCCGAATGTGGTGAACTGCCGAATTTGGTATTCTCCGATGAGAAAATATTCGTCAGCTGAAAATGTGCACCTTCGGTTGGCCACCAGAACTCAAGCGCCGGCCATGGTGATGGTGTGGGCAGCCATAACGTGGCATCAGAATAAATGTGGATTATTATCGCGAAAATATTCTGGAGGGTGTATTAAAGTCTTGGGCACGCAAACATTGTGGCCGCAGACCTTGGTCATTACAACAGGATTCAGCACCATCGCACTCAGCACGCGCCACCCAATAATGGTTTCAAAATGAGGCTCCTCGCTTTATTTCCAGCGCACAATGGCCACCAAAATCTCCGGATACCAATCCGTTGGACTATTGGACTAAAAAATACAAAAGTGTCGATCACCTCAAGCAAGCGCTTCGCCGGGAATGGGCCAAAATACTGCAGATCAACGTGTGACGGTTTCATGGGCCGTTTGAAGGTCATAATTCGTGCCAAAAGAGACCAATTCGAACAAATCTAAACGTATTCTAAAATTTGATGTTATTCCGACATTTTTTGCTTTCATTCAATAAAATTAAAAAAATGTAAAAATTATGGCGTTTGGCTTTGGTGCAGTTTTTTCATCTCACCTTGTATATCCTATGATCTTCACTCCCATGTTCCCGTAAATTAAAATGGTTTTGGAAATACTGACATATCGAAGCTTTATAACAATGATTTTCGGTTCATTATATCAGATAAAGACTTTGGCAATTATTCTCAAGATTGGTTTCGATTTACGTACATCTCTAATATATATTTTTCCCACAATCTTAACGTAAATAAAACCATGCTACGTTTGTATGTTCTATTAGATTTTTCACAAATTCTCTATATTTCCCTAAATATGCAAAATATTGAGTATCATATTCCTTACTGTTTTTTATTGTACCTATTTCAGATTCCTATTGAAAACTGAGGAAAGTGCAGTTCATATCTGGGGCTTAATTATTTTGTTGCTGTCGGGGGCTGCTGGGCATAAGGAAATCTGCACTGATAGTAGTGGTGGTGTGTTACACAGCCAGAGGGATTTAGCCGAAATCACACAATTAATTTTGAAATCACAAATAATTCACTTTGTAAGTATTTTAATTAATTTAATCATCAAGCCATGATTAATTTTGTTTTTACTTCCTCTTCTAGAACTTACTAAATCTTCAGAAAACGACAAGAGCAGGCCAAGATGTAGAGTCTTATAAGGATTTTCTAGTGGGCAATAAAATAGCTCTATTATTTGGTGACTTATTGTTGGGCGGATCAGTGCTTGAACTGTCCCAACTTAGAAACCAGGAAATTGTCGGTTTAATAATGGCGGGCATAAGAAATATTGCTGATGGAGAATTTTTGGGAATTAGAGATGAACAAAACTACCCTTTACCATGGAGGGCACAATCTTCAAACGGCTCATACGATGTGAGAAAGCCAATTGATGCTGATTGCAGTATTGAACCTTTAAATATCGCTGAGGTAAGAGGTAATGCCGAATTGGAATGGGAACTTCGAAACGTCTTAAATGGCGGCAGCCTATTGGGAAATGCATGCAAATCAGCAATGATATTAGCCAAACACAACACTGACGTTCAGAATGAAGCCTATTTATTTGGCAAACACTTTCATTTAGCTTGGCAATCATCAATAGACCTCATGACATTTATGCCAACCAACAATGTGGAAGGTACAGTACAAATTGCATTTATTAAGATAGTATTTCATACAAATTTCCTTAGATCCGACTTGTTTCAGCTTAGTTAGTGCTCCAGTTCTATACCATTTGGAAAATGACCCATCACTCTATGATGAAATTGAAAAAGGCAAAGAAAACGTGGAAAATGTTAATTACGAGAAAGTTCGCAATATCATTTTGCGTGGTCCCGGCCTGATTAAAACAGAACAATTATATCGGAAGCATCAAGAAGCTGTGTTGAATTGCCTTTCAAAATTTAAAAATAATGATGCTAGAAATGCTTTGAAAAATATGATTTTGTGTTTAAATAGACGTTGTGAATAAATATTAATTAAATACATGGGTGTTTTTTATGAAATGTACGAGGGATTTAAATTCAGCTACAGCTACTAAGGCGACATCCTCAGTAGGCGAGTAGAGAGAACATTGTGACAACTTTGGAACCTCTGCTGACGCTGTTCAATTGAACCATAGGACATGTTGTAGCAGTGTACATCGGCAATGAAAGTAAGTTGTTTTTTTATATCCTATTTTAACCTATTTTAAGGCCGTTAAACATTCAACGTTGTATTTTTTATCCAACGTTCCTACCCCTCACATTCCCACCCCTGCCGACCGAGGGGGCGACCTCCCTTTACGGAGGGATCGCGTACACATCATGATCCGCATCATAATGGGAATTCAGTAGGAAATTGAAAACCAGCTACAGAATCTAATTCATCAGCTAGTTTGTCAAATAATAAAACATGTATGTTAATTGTTTAAAAATAAAATTATTCTAGATTTAATAACTTCTAAACTCATACAAAAATCTACATTACAATACACAGAATTAAAGTCAACACACATTTTACTAAGAGGTTCGCCCATTGAATAATTCGTGCGGTGAAAATCAGTATATAATAATTGGTAGTATCTACTAGATCTAAACGGAACATTAATTCTAATAGATGAGATTAGGAAATCTGAAGGTATATTACCATTTAATATTTTTAGTACAAACATGGAGTTCAACATAATACGTCTGCTTTTAAGTGTAGGCAATCTAATTAATTTTAGCCTGCAAGCATAAGAAGGCAAAACGAAATCACTATTCCAATGTAAACCTCGTAAGGCAAATAGCAGAAATTGTTTTTGCACGGATTCTATTTTATCTGAGTATATTGCATATTGAGGATCCCATACAACAGAACCATATTCCAATATAGGTCTAACAAGAGACGTAAATAACTGTTTTGTTATATATGGATCAGAAAATTCTTTGGCCCACCGTTTAACAAAACCTAAAACACCATTTGCTTTATTTACCATTGTTATTACATGGCTATTAAAATTTAATTTTGGCTATTAATATTAAATTGTAATATCAGAGAAGAAGATCTGGAGAAGCACATATGCTTATATTTGCTAAATTTAACTCCATACAATTTAACCTGCACCATTTAAAAATGCTATCTAAATCGTTTTGAAGTAAACTAGCTCGTTTATCACAATTATGGGAAGTGAATAATTTAACATCATCTGCGTTCATTAACAATTTCGAGTAATTTATGGAATTAGGTAAATCGTTGATAAATAAAAGAAAGAGAACCGGTCCAAGGTAACTTCCTTGCGGAACATCCGATGGAACGTTCATCGTTTTGGATAGATATCCTTCAAATAAAACTAGTTGTGATCTATCTTGTAAGTAAGATGATATCCATTTGACTAAGTTTGTGTTGAAACCCATATAATTTAATTTATATATTAAGAGTCCGCGGTTAACCCTATCAAAAGCTTTACTAAAGTCAGTATAAATTGTATCAGTTTGTTTACGCTGAACAAATCCTTTTATAATTACAGAAGGTAGAACAAAACTAATTTTGGTGCCCTTATTCTGTCAAAACATATACACATTTTGTGTATATGTGTGTATTGTTTTGAATACAAAATACAATAATTTCAAATTATTTCAAAATAAGTGCAAAATTTATACGTAAATGGCCAAACATACCAAAAATACAATACAGCTTGAGAATAATATTATGAAAATAGTTTATCGTAAGAATTCCTCAACAATGCTAAAGAAAAACTTTTTTGCACAAACTTTTCTCAAATCTGTCCTTTGTTGACAAATTTGTTTTGATTTTTTTTTTGTGAAAATTGTCGACAAAAAAATATTTTCTTTGGTTAAAATCAAAATCACGCGAATTTAAGACCCATTTCTGGACGAAACTCTAAGGTAATGATGAATAATAAATCTGGGAATCTGTAGTGTATATTATTTCAATCTCATTTCAGAATAGAGGCGTTAAAAAGTTGCAAGAATTCAAGAGAAGTGAAGAATTAGTTGAGGAGATGCCGAAGCTCAAATAAGGGGAAAGAAATCATATAGGTATCAATGCAACAGGAGGCAGCGACAGCTGGGATGGCGATCAATGAATGAAATGTGTAAAATAATTAAAAAATAAATATTTTATACCATTGAAAAAATAAGCTTGATATAATATTACTTTCGTAAGCTTATTCTGCAATTACAAGAATAAGCTTATGAATAAGGGTTCCCTTTCGATTATTCTATTATTGTTAAACAAGCATTTCTCAATACATTCTCAAGATTTTCTCAAGCTTAAAGCTTATTTTTGAAAGCTTATTAAAATATTATTCTCAAGTCAATTTGGTATGTTGGGGGGTAACAAATTGTTCAATTTTGTGATGCAACTGTATTGACCTACACCTCGGAAGGCGAAGGATTGATTTAATTCGTAGTGGCGGAATGTTAATTGAATTGCAGATGTTACCAAAAACCTGTATGAAGTTCTCATTATGTATTCTATTTACTCTTACTTCATAACATACATTAATGAAGGATAACAACCTACCTCCTCTTATTTTATTTCTTCAAACATATGTGTATGCATTAGTTATCACAAAATCGTTCAGTATTTTGATTTGTATCGTTATTTTTGCTAGATTTGTATCGTTATGTGTGTGCAATCACCCAAAAGTCTAGAAAGTGAGACCAGTAAGGAGAGCTATTTTGACAATGGAGATTCTGAGAGTTTGCAAAATCTTACTGGACAAATATATTTAATAAGAATTGCCCATTTACAGGTTCGATCCTTTACTTTTGCCAGTAACATTTACCTTACTGAGTACTACTACCACGCTTTTGAAAAAAATTTGAATATTAAGAAAAAAAAATAAATTTGTTAAAAATTCTTTTAAAATCTTAAAAATACCGAATGTAGGTAGTTACCATTATATAGGGTTCTATACGGAGACGTGGACCTGCATAGGCTAGCATAATATTGAAATACGAAATTTGAAACAATTCCGGTGTAGCTAAAATCATAAAATTACGAATATAGGAAGGTACCGCTATATGGGGGCTATACGAAGACGTGGACCTACATAATCGATTTTCTGTCATAGACTGTAGTACCCATTAGGAACTTCAAATGCGAAATTTGAAACAATTCCGGTGAATAATCTCGGTGCTATTCCATAACGTGGACATTTATAGTTCATTTTCAATACCAAAAGTCCTGCAGAACAAACACACATTTGAGTAAAATTTAATTAACCTTAAACTGGTGAGGTGACATATTTTATGACGTGTTGGTGTTTTTTAAAAATATTTTTTGATAATTATTTGTTGTATAAGTATGAGCTTGTATATTTTCAATTACAATAAGAAAAAATATAACAATTTTTTTCATTTTAACATTTTAATAAAACTTTTATTCATCCCATAGAAGAGACAATTTCAAGAAAGGGAAGGAAGAGTAAAATTTACACCACCTCGATAGTTAAAGGTTAATTTCATTTCGTTGGGAAGCTAGAGTCACTAAGTTCACACAACAAGATATTGTCCAATAATCCTCTTTAAAACACTTAAAAGAGGATTTAAAAAGCGGCGTCCGTTAAGCTTCAAGGTTCAAATTTTAAAGGGACCAACAGATCGAAAAAGAAGGCATTCAGGGCTTAGCAGGTCGAAAGCCAGACATGAGCTGGAGTTCACAGAGTTCACCAGATCAAAAACCTGAATCCCTTGCAGGGTTTTACAAATCGGCCCCATCTAAACATAAACAGCTGTTTAGAGATCCTTCAGAGAAATAAATAAGGTACTGTTTAGTGATAACTGCTTCTTCTTGCCCATTCACACAATTTCCGGAAAATTTATAAACATTCAACTGCTATTGCTCTTTGCTGTTTTAAAATGTTCGAGTAAACTAACATTGCTAACATCAGCTGATTGGAAAAGCTATTTTGTGGCCGTTAAGCATTCAATGTTGCATTCATGGTAGAAGAATATAGGTACACGCGTCGACACAGCTTCTGGGACAACGAATTGTCAAACCGATTTTGGAATTGGAAATGTTGAATGAAAAATTACTTAAATTTGTAAAAATTGTTGAAAAACGCGAATTATAATAGCCTTTGAATGACGTAATATAAGAAAACATATAAAGATCTGCTTATTTTGAAAAAAACATTTAAATTTTTTTTGACATATCAATGCTCCCAAGCGTTGATGCATCTATCTGTATTCTTCTTCCTAGATTCTACTGATTGTTGTTCAATACATTTTAGCAAAAATTGCTGATTACTGAGTAATTTTATTGGAAAAGTTATCGTAAATGTCAATTACTGAGTTAGTGAGAGTTTACAAATTCTTTCTTAGTAAATTTACACAATATTTACTGTTTAATGATGGTCAAATAGTTTTGTTTTGTAAAATCAGCTGATTGCTTATACGTTTTGCAAGGATTCCGTCTATTATTTTTCAATCATCATTTCAACTAATTATAGATTCTACGAAACGTCCTTTTAGAAACAACAACTATAATAATAAACAAACTGGTAGGTTCTTGCAGGTTCTGGAACAAAGCAACATAAAACACATATTTCTAATATTTTTGAATTGAATTTTGATTGTTTTTCTTCATAATTTATTTGCAATGTCAACATTTGAATAATTATGGTGCCAATCTAATATTCGATAACGAAAAGTCGACTTTCCGATTTTCACAGCAGACAAAGGTTGGCAATCGATAACTGAATGTCGATTTACATATCCCTAATGTTTCCAAAAATGTTCATTCGTAGTTTCAAATCGCTTGAAGGTGGTCGTGCGGTTGTAATCGTTCGGAATAACATTTATTAAGCAAAAAAGAACTGGCGCGGTCGTCTTTCGTTTTTGTAATTCTTATATAAATTCGCAAGTGCGCGAACAATTGCTTCAAATTATTGCAGTCAAGCAAGTGGCAAAGAACAAATTATCAAAATATTTGTTGCGTTTTGATGTTATGCAAACAAAATATAAAAACATTGTACAAAATAAATAAGGAAAACCGTTTAATTTGAGAGCTAACTAAGCATTTTGCAAACAAGAGAAAGTTAGCAAAGCAAACGGGGAACAATAGTGACAAAGCTAAGGAATTTTTACGTCATTTGTTGCTGTTTTTGTTTTGTGGTGCAAATTCGTGTGCATTTTTGTTGTATTGTTGTGTGCACCAACACATTTGCAAAGGAAAAACAGAATTCGCCAACCAGCGTGCAAATAAAAACATAAAATAAAACCTGGAAGAAAATAAACTTTAATAGCCGCTTAACTGGTCTCTTCCACGTGAATGTCTAACAAATCACAGTATCCAACGTATCAACCGATACCCACAACTACAGTCACCATGGACAATCCGGCCATGACCCGTAGCACCAGCAGTGCAGACGATGGGGACCAGACCGGTGCTGGTGCCTTACCCTCTACATATTCATCTCAACAGCTAATGCCGCCGTCCGACAGCGATAGTGTCGATGACACAGAAAGACAAAGACAACGACAAAACAGTGCCACCATTGATTGTGCTCCTGGTGCCCGCCGCTGTGTTACCCGTAGCCAATGGTTTACAGTGGGTGTACTATGTTTTGTAAATCTAATCAATTATATGGACCGTTTTACAATAGCAGGTGAGAAGAATGGCTTTTAAATTGAAACTTGGCAAAAAAATCCCATTTAGTAATGTTATAACGTTCCAACTCACCATTTGAATGATGTAAACCCTCCCAAATAACCTCTTACATTGCGCAATTTCATAGGAGGAACATCCGTTATTTTTTAACGGTTAAAATTAGTCATTATTTCGTTGTCAATAGAACACCACCTCACATCTCTTGAAATGTTCCACTAAAGTGTGTTGTTGTTTAGCGAGAAATAAAGAAAGAAGAGGAGTTGATTTCATTCTATGTTTTGTAGACATATTTGCTTTTTTATTGCTTCGATCGAGGAAGTAGAATATTTGTTTTTAATACTGAAGATAAGACAAATAATTTCTACAAAATATCGAGACTGAATATAGTGGTAGTTATTTTCAAAACAGATGCATCTAATTTTTTTTAAAAATTCAACTATTAATTGCTGTTTATTAATTTTATAGAACTCTTTCAATTTGTATATATTTTATATTTCTTACAAGTCATTTTGAATCGCGCCACTATTTACCAATTTTTTGATAGCTTCAGTGATTGTGGCCAATGGAATTCTATTATCGCAATCTCGATTGCCATTAATAAAAGTAAATTATTTTATTTCAAACACTTGCTATTGAAAATTATTAGGAATTTACGGAAAATATGTAGGTGTACAGTGGAAATCACCCCATAAATATATTGTCTATATAAGAACCGATTACAGTGTCGTACACAAAACCCCTATATTTTTATAACTGTGGTGTCCAAGGCGGACCAGCTGTGAATAATAAATGCCAAAATAACAATAATTTTTTAAAATTGAAAAACAAAATAAGTAGCAACTCTTTTTGAAACTTGAATGAGAAATGGTGACCACAACATTTTTTTTTTTTTTTGGAAATGTCTTCAGTGATACCTTCTAAAGATGATAGTGCCGTAACTTGTTCTGATAATCTAGTTTTAAAAAATTTGTGAAATTTTTTTGTTCAACATTTTGCGTTTTGTAGTAAAATATACCTTGGTTATGCCAGTGTCACGATCTCGAAAATATTCTTTGGAAATTCCTCACTATTTAAGGAGGACCATCAATGCTTGAATGTTTTTACCAGTACCTTTTTGAAGTCATCTCTATAAATTAGTTTGGTTAATGAATTTGCGACGAAAAGCTGCTAAAACAAAAATTCGAAAACCATGTAATTTTATTACTAAAATTGCAGATTCTTTAATTTGTTTAGTTTTTGTTGATTGCAGTAGGTTTCATTGTGATCTTATAATTCCATACTATTAAAACTTCTAATACATTTCAAGGAATTAGGGCTTGGAGCATAACATGAAAAATACTACTCAAAATACCATAAATTACAATAAAATGTTACAACATTGGGGTGTTCTGCATTTAGGTTATATTTTTTAATTAATTCCACTTATACTCTTCATTTAAAATACTATAATGAATATTAAATGCTTACGCGTGTCTCTCAATATTTCAATTGTGATAATCAACAAATTCGTATGTTTACTTCAAGACCGATAGAGAACAACAAGCACTCTTGCCTGTGACCCGCATTAAACTTAATTACAAAATTGCTCTTATGTCTCCTAAGTTCATTCATTTAGGCTAAGAGGTGTCAATACTATTTTAGTAATTTTTCTTAAGCGTAATAATATTTTTGTCTTTAAAAAATGTCTTTAATTTCAATTGAAAACATTTCCTGAATCATGTAATACTTCCGTTGTTTTCGTTGTCGATCACACGCTCCTATATATTTATTAAGAGTATTAGTCATTCTTGATGTTCAGTTGATGCATTAAATATTCAATTCTAAAAATTTGTCACGTTCTTTTTGTGGGAGTAGAGTGCAATTAAAAACTTTGATTCTCAGTTACACTATGCAACAATGTATTTAAAAAATGCTATCATTTTCTAAAAATATTAATGTACAAGTCCTGCTATCTGCGAATTTCTTAGACATATCTGTGACTAAAAAAATCTGATATCTTTATTTTGAAATACCTATGGAAAGAGAAACATGGTGTTTTATATTTAAGATATCAAAGATATTGTTAGTTCAAAGACCTATATATTAAAAATTACCTTGTTAAATAAGTATCCCAGGTAATCTTCCACATTACTCAAATTATATTCTAATTCAAACATCTATAAATCTTTATAATTATCATCTTTTCAATTAGGGCTTAAACAAATGTCTCTATAAATTGCTTAGTTTAGATATTCGAAATAGATTAGTTTTGTTTGTTATGGGATGTCTTGCATTGAAATTATTATATTTCTCTTTGTAGTCGTGACATTGTTTTGGTTTCCAATTTCCACATTAAATTTATGATTTTGCTCATCTTCTTTAGGTTTTGTCATATGTATTTTTCATTTTTTTTGTTTATGTTTTCAGCTATGGGGGCTACCTTCAAATTGGCAAATATACATGCATACCTACCTACACTCGCTTTAACAACAAATCGGCAAATATAAAGTCCAACCTTGAAATGGTCATAAGTTCGTTGTGCTTATCATTAAAGGTGGCGTTGTTGTTGCAGTGTTTGGCTTTTTTTGCAATCTTTTCTACTCGTCATTGATTTTGGGGCCAACACATTCCTTCGCATTCTTATCTATAGTTTTTCCCATTTGTTGTTTGTAAATCATGCAATTCCAATGAGTGAAATGAGAGATTCTTAAAATTTAATTAAATTCCAATTAACAATAATCGATCAATACAAAATCACCGGACAAACCGCAGTCAGTCAGTCATATGCTGGTTTCGTACTCGATCATATGTGTTACAAATCGCTAATTAATGTGTGGTAACACAATTCCCCTCGATTTGTTTATTTGTTCGTCAAATCTATCATCTACACATCACGCCACCAACGCTTATATCACTACGTTGTTGTTAGCAGCCGCTGTACTTCTATTCTCTTATCAGGCTATATCAGCTAACCACCACACTTAGAAAAGTCGCTGTTTTATAATAAAGAAATGTGTCTGTGCAAAGTATCAAGTCTCGTGACACAGAATTTCCCGCATATGTTTTGCAGTTTGTTTTCATGTCTAGCTTAAAGACTAGTAAATACTTACCCAATTTACTTCATTCATAGGATTGCTCGCCAAATTTGTATTATGCTAAGATTAATGTTTTACGACCCTCTAATCTCCAGGCTGGTCTGGAAATCATGATTAGACGTCATCATAGGACGTCGGCGCCCAGTTAGACGCTTGCAGATAAGGCCGTCATTTTTGTTTCTCTAATATGACTTGGTTGTTTTTGGTAAACAATAAAACCCAATCTATATTTTGTTTACAAGCGCTTTCTCCTCTCTCCATAAGGCTTACGAAAAAGTATCGAAAACTTTTTGAATGTTATTTGTTTTGTCGGATGATGCTATTGCTGACTCATGGACGTATTTTTGAAGCCATAATGAATTCAATTAGTATTATACATTTATCTTAACATGTGAATGAATGGGCATGCATTCCGCAAGTCGGATGGGAAAAAATAAGCCAAAAAACACGATAAAAGTGGCGTGATGTTTTCTGTTTTTGAGCATTTTTTTTGGGTTGGTCATTTTTATCGCATTGTGAGAAGTAAAAAAAGTCTCGTGAATATTTTTACATCTCTCTCATTGTGTCGCATTTGATGATGACATACCTTATTATTTTCAGAAATATTCCTTTTTGATACTAAGTAACATGTTGTGCCTATTATTCTAGCATCATTTGTGTGATGTTTTGTATGAATGCCTTGACATTTCTTAGTTACAATTCTCAACTCTCGGCAATTCATAAGATCTCCATGAAAATTTACCTTTTGATAGGAATCTAAAACAAGTTTTTTAGCTTGTCGATGAAAATGAAATCACGTCCAGAATTCGATGGAGCAGTCATATGTAATATATTTTGTGTAATAAATAAAGAAAGAAATGATACAGTCAAAACAAAAATCCAATTCTTTAATGATTACTTTAGTATGGAGTGGTATTGTTTTTTTTTTCTGAATTTTATTTGGAACAGCCCATTAATCATTAGCATATTGATTTTCTATGATAAAATAAAAGGAAATAATCTCAGGAAGTAACCCCTATTATACCAAAATGTTCAATTTCATTGTTGTGTCAATTGCATTGGAATTGGCACATTATTAAGAACACTTTTTGCAACACAATTATTTAATCTGAAACTATTTTTGGTTTGAGTTGAGGATGGAATCTGCCACTACATTTCTAAAAGATGTGATAAAGAAAACAATACCAACAAAAATACAAACGTGGACTCAGGCTACATTTGCCAAAAAAAAAATTTTTTTCTTTGTGGTCTTGCCAATAATTCCATTCATAAAAATATGTAGCAAAAATATAAAAAGAAATGAACAAAAATACATATGTATGTATGCTATGCCTTTCTAGCTATGTGTGGCTTCGATAGTTTTGATAAATTTTCCATATGGGCCAAGGTTGAAAATAAAATGTATATTGACAAAAACGACTTTCTTTTTTTTAAGTTTAATGGGCAAAGTCAAGGTTATTTGTTAGATTGTGAAAAGACACTGAAAAAATAGTACAAGAAATTCAAACATTCCGACAAGAGGGTGGTACATTTCCAAATGTACTAAAAGTGTGTATATCCTATGTAAATACATTTATAGAAGTATGATAACGTATTCAAATCATACGATATTTTTGACAAAATCATACGATATTTTATCATTCACGATAATTAATCATTTTCAAATATTCCGCAGCGTCATTTCTCCAGGTAAATGCTCCAAAATAAATTTTTTGTGAGTTTAAATCAAACAGCATTTATAAACTGGAAGTATTTGCGCAAAATATTCCTAACAAATTTGCATTTTTGTTAAAAAAATCACATCAGTAATTTTGGAATTTCAAATGATATATGCATATGCGAAATCAAAATACCTGTTAAATAATGTATTTAAATTATATTAATGGAAATATCCACACAGATTCTGTTAAAATTGAAGGGAAAG